TAAGAGCGTAACATTTAGCACAAGTACTTCAAACGAATTAAACCTGTGACCTGTTTTCTGAGTAACATTAAGAATATCTCTATAGATTGTTGCAACACCGCCGCCACGACCGATCAGACGGGGCTCATGTTTATAACAATATCCTGGCGGAGTAGACTCATTTAGACCGAAATACTCATTTGGTTTAAGCCAGGTTTAGTAAGGCAAAGTACATCGAAGCTATTATCTGTGACCATTTCATTTACAATAACCGCCTTAGGTGTGAGCGATCTAATGTTTAGAAGACCTAGTTTTAGAAATTGTTTTTGTTCACTGATATTTAGATTTTCTGGTTTAATTACAATAAGATTTTTCCTAGATCCTACACTAGATTTATTGTTTGGCCTCACTACACGAGGAATAGACACAGTTTCTATATAATGTTCTACACTACTTATATCAATTAAGTTGGGACAGCAAAGACTGTGAATTGGACTTTGACTTACTAGTCAGATGGTGTGCAACGTCTTGGAGATGTTGTCCGACAGCACAGCCGCTCCGATTCTGCTGGGGTGCAGGCCATCAGCACGGTAGAGCCTAGGTCGCTCCCAGAACAGATTCCAATTATTTACAAAGAGCAGTTTCTGTTCATTACACCATGACATTAACCATTCATTTAGAGCAAATAGTCTACTGAACCTTTCTTGTCCTAGTCGGTACGTGGGAAGCGGTCCAGACACGATGATCGTTGCCTCAGGCGCTGTGCTGCGTACCGCCTCGATCAGGCTCCTGTAGTCCTTCTTCAGAACCTCCGTCTGCCGCAGCCTGATGTCGTTCGTTCCCGCATGGAGGACAACGGCTCCGACGCGCTCGTCACCGTTCAGAATCTCGGGAACCTGTGCGGCGACATCAAGAACACGAGCACCAGGAAAGCAGTGAGTGCGCACCTTACCCTTACCTGAGGTAGCGCGGACATGACGGACCATGGAAGTGCCGATGATCACGGCGTCGTCGCGTTCCGACTCGTGAAGAGGGGAGAAGCGGTTCCGGGTGGAGATCTCGAAGACCGGGAGGGGCGGAGAGGTTCTTGCTCTGGTCCTGGCTCGTGTCTTCCGCTGTGGGATCACCCAGGGTCCATGGTGTTGTGTAGGTGCCGGAGTGAATGAAGCCAGAGATGATCGCGTCCTCCTGGGCAGAGAAACGCACGGAGTAGAGGAAGTCGGAGTCAAAAAGTTACTAACCACTGACTTGTGAGCATCGGCGCGTGACGTTTCAAGCGCTGATCGCCGATCCCGCAGCTCGGCTTGCCTCTCCAGCAGACCACGGATCTGTTTCTCCACCGATTCCAGTTCCAATCGCACCGACATCAGCTCGAATGTGTCCTCACCTGCACTCAGAGGTAACGTTAGACACACATCCGATATGTTCGCCATTATAACAGATGAACAGTAAATTAACAGTGATACTACCAATATCACTACTAATTTAGGACTGGAATGCTGGATATAACCTGTATCCTTTCAGTGAAACGGGTGTAAAATCAGACGGTCAATAGGCGCGAGCCCACGCGTGAAATGCTAGCGGGCTAAAGGCTAGTAGCCGAGATTCGCAAAGTTGGATCTAAGTAGCGATATCAAAGCAATCCGATTGTTTTTTTTTATAGGGAATAGTATCGAGGATAGGTTCACACGATATAAAAATAGAAAGTGCTTGTTAATAAATGAGTGGTAAAGAAGAAAATCAAGGATTAATGAATCAATTCGACGGAGCTCTAAACACAAACCAACTATGACCATTATAACATTATATTTGCCGCCTGCGGCCTATTATTTAGCTGATTATTTAGCCTACAGGCTTCTCAAGGACAATGTCAGTGAACAAAACTGGGGTTAATGCATTTAAAGTGTGAGACTTCATTCAAAAGCATAAATCCTACAGACCCACAACTATTGAACAGTATGTTTGAGGTTTTGCTTAATAGTCGAGTTCATAGCCGTGGAGGTTGTCTTGGACAGGGGGTGCAGCAGGCCATCAGCATGATGATCTTCTAGAAAATAACATGCAATGTGTCACAGAGCCAACAATGTTACATAGAATTTACAATAGAACAAAGGGTTTATTACAAGGAAGCAAGCTAGAGCAGAGATGAAATGCAGAAAAAATCTTAAGGTAATATATTGTGCAATAAATACATATGAAATTATTATCATGATTAAACAATAATTCCCCCTTTCTATCTTTGTAAGTGACGTCATTAACAGTACGTTACAGTGAATTATTTCAGGTTAAATAAATTAGCTTACTTCCAATCACCCATTGACAAATTACCAGCAAAACAAAACTATCAAAACCTGTTATCAACACAAAAATGTGGTTAAAAACCCAAACTTATGTAAAACAAGAGCTCAATTGTAACGTAAACTTACCGGTAACTTAAGTTAGCTCTTCTGAAAACGGTTGAGATGCTAACGGACTATTTCCGTTAAGACACAAAACCATTTCTATAAAGTAAATATTCAACAGAAGTGTATCAGTTACACGTAAGAAAGATGTCAGGAACGTTTGTATGTATTATTTGTGTGATTTTGGTAACTAAACTTACCTGAAAGCAGTGGAAACAACAGTGAGAAACGCTAGTTTTGCTGTTTGTCAGTTGATGAGGTTTCCTCGTTTCCATCTGCTCTCGCGCGCTCCTGTCTTTGAATCAGATAGCTTTGAATGCGACTCAATGTTTACGCGCACGTACGCCCATTGAAACCATAGAACACGTAAAAAAGGCACGCAGCATTTAAATAAACATCTAGAATTATAACATTTAACAATTTAAAATACCATTAATTTTAAATAATAAATTTAAAACTCATTGTGTAGTTCTATGACCCATTCACTTCACAATTATGCTTTATTTTTTTATACCATTTTGCTTTTATTTTTATTGTAAAGCAATTTCAAGACATCTGTATTATATATATAGGCTATATATATATGTAAGCAATAAGGTACGAGAGGCTGTGCTGTATCGTGAATAAGTAACGGCTGGAGGGCGTTGTTAGGCACGACGCGAAGCGGAGTGCCTGCAACCCCTTCAGCCGTTACTTATTCACGATACAGCACTTGCCTCGAGTACCTTATTGCTTTTATAAAACGGTTGCCACACAATAAAAATATTAAAGCCGAAAAATATGTATCTATGCAACTTTCATGAAGTAAAATCACTAAAAGCCTGCCTTCCGCTGGAAAAAATAGTCCCGGAACGTGAACAGCAACAGAAGTTACATATATTATTTCGCCAATAGATGGCGGCAAAGACTGTCTTTATGAGTGAGTGAGTGAGTGAGTGAGTCTGTAGAGAAGGCTTTTGAAAGGACTCGAACTTGTGATCACGGAGAAGACAGACGCAACTGACAGATGACTAACGTTATGCACGGAAAACCCCATGACTGTTAAAAGGACAAAATATGCAGCGGACATTCAAACGCATTTTTTTATTATGAATATAGGACTGACCTGAAGGAAAATGCTACGTCTACTGTAAATGCAGGTACACTCGCTTACTCGATCTCTCACAATGCTCTGCTCTAGCTTTAAATGAACAATATCAATGAGATGAAACATCTGTTTAAGTTGCTAAGAGTGGTTGCTAGGGGTGTTGTGTAGTGATACATAGAACCGTTGGGTGAAGCGGTCATAGCCGTGTTTTATCGTGAATAAAGCACAGCTATTGACCAATCAGAATCAAGGATTGGAACTAACCGTTTTATAAATATATATATTACATTAAAAGAGAATATGAATTAAGCACTATCTTTATATAAATTAAAGATGGTAATGAAATTACGGGCCCGTGACGTTGCAGTTTCGTTGCCAGTAAGTCATAAAATTACCAAGTTATTACGATTAGAGTACGTATCTGCGACGTTGTTGGTTATTTTATAACCTTAGGAGGACGTACTGACGATGTTGTGGTTTGGTCATATGATGGTAATGAAATTACGGGCATGCAACGTTGTAGTTACGTTGCCAGTAAGTCATAAAATTACCAAGTAATTACGATTAGAGTACGTATCTGCGACGTTGTTGGTTATTTTATAACCTTAGGAGGACGTACTGACGATGTTGTGGTTTGGTCATATGATGGTAATGAAATTACGGGCATGCGACGTTGTAGTTACGTTGCCAGTAAGTCATAAAATTACCAAGTAATTACGATTAGAGTACGTATCTGCGACGTTGTTGGTTATCTTATAACCTTAGGAGACCGTACTGACGACGTTGTCAGTTGGTAATTTGATGGTAATAAAATTACAGACATGCGACGTCGAGACGGTAAGTCATGAAATTACCAAAAAGTACGAATAGATTACGTAACTGCGACGTCGTGTGTTAGCTGGGAGTACGGGTCGGCCAATCTGGTTCTGTCCGTTAAAATTAACTTTTGCAAATAACAATCGCGGTCCTGGATAGTGAGTGGCCTTGCACATTTAGATAAAATCGGATTTTCTCCAGTGATTGTTAAAAACAAGCTAACAAAACTTGCAGACTTTACGTTAGTGAAGCGGCCAGAGGGATCGTTCTGCCACCACCTAAGCTCCGCCCACATAAAAACGTCACCATGTTTACCAACTGAAAATTGGTCTATAGTATTGACAATTACTAATGTCACATACTATTTAGGATGGATAGTATGCTTGCACATTGGGACGCAGCTATAGTGTATATATCTATGGTTCTATGTAAACCGCTTCAAAGTGCGCTTTGAAAAACTACATTTCCCATAAACCTTTGCAACAGGAATGGCGAGTTATAAAGTTGCCCTGGGTTGTTACTCTAAAGTGGATCTTATAAAGAGAAAGGGACAAGATAGAAATACATTTGTTTAGTCAAAACGCATAAATGTGACTTTCAAATATATCGAGCAAGATTTGAACTGAAGTTCTTCTGAATTTTGTGGTGTTGTTGTGTTTTTTTTTTAATGTTGTAACTTCGATTGTCCAGCAGTTTTCGTGTCTGTGTCTCTCCTGAGTCAATGAAGTTTCGTGTCCACATAGTAGAGCAAACGTATCGATTAAAACATGTCTTTTAAACCAGTAACACACGTGCTTTTTGATATGGACGGATTATTATTAGGTGGGTGAGAATCTTGTTAAAAAAAAATATTTTTCTTTTACTAAATCAGCGCTTGTCTTTTTGTTTGCGTTCAACAAAATCAGAAAGACAGTCATCGAGTATGTTTCTGAGAGTTTAAACGATTTTTTATATTTATGTAATCAAAATGTCCCACTGTGTCAGTAGCACATTTTATAATAGCCTACTTACACATTTGATTTGGCAGGTTACCACTCTGAAACAAAATGATATAGCCTAATAATACTCATCAGTTTCTTTATTATAATAAGTCAATAATTGATTGCCTTTTTGTACCGTTCCATCAATTTGCTCTGCACTATTGCATGTTTTTATTTGTATATCTCTTGTAGATACAGAGAGGTTGTACTCAGTGTCATACCAGGAGGTCTGTGACAGGTTCAATAAGCAGTATACCTGGGAAGTGAAGTCCTCTGTGATGGGAAAAAAGGCTTTGGAGGCTGCCAGGATCATAAGAGACAAAATTGAACTCCCCATGACCCCTGAAGAGCTCCTGGAGGAGACTAGAAAAATTCAGGAGCGATTATTCCCCACAGCCTCTCTGTTGCCAGGTAATTGTTTATGTAAGATTGGAACTGGAAGTTGATTTTGACACAAAAGGTGACAGAGAGATGCATCACCTAGTTTAGAGCATATTTTCCTCAAAGTCACTTAGAATAAAATAAGCTGTTTCAAGGTCAGGTCATACTGCATGGTTATTCATTTTGGGGTGTGTTCATACTTGTAATTAGATTCTCTTGGCTTTATTTGGTCCGGACCTTAGTCCTGGTTCACACTGTCATTTTTAATACCGAACCTAAAGATAAAAAACAAAAAACAGCTTTTATGATGTATTGTGTGACGGAACTTACCAAAGGCTGCGTTTACACTTGGCATTAACATGCAACCTGTATCCGGATGTTGTCCACATACACATTGAAAAGACAAGTGTTAATGCACTTCTGATTGGAATGTTATCCGATCAGCGTGTCCAGGTTCGAGGTACGCATTCTGATCGGATCTCAGTGTAATGTAAACGCAATCCAGCCATCATGTCTGCATTCACAGGTGGACGTCATCTAAATCCTCGCCCAGTCTCCCCACGTGGCTGTCAGAAAATAATAGCCACACACAGTTTAGACAAGAAATTAAACTTATTTGAACCTTACAATAAACGTCAATCTTTAAAACAGTTTATTTAGACTTACATGATACTATGTATGTCATTTTTCATTTTAATTGTGCAACATTATCTGAACAAGGCGATCGCCTGTACAATCACAGTCAGTCATGAGATCTTAATGAAGTGCTGCACGCTGCTTTGCCAGAGGAATAATCGGAATCGGATTTTTAAAATGTTTAATGTTTTTATTGTTTCAGAATGTTTATCAAAACGCTATAACCTTAAACCCAGATAATCGATAATGTGACTTGTTTAACATGATCAACCCAGTTATTTTTGTATGATCAACTCTGGAAGTATTCCTTCGTTCAAAAAACTTAATTTGATCTAAGACTGGAGATTGCATAGGAAAGTGAGTGAGTGAAAGCAATTGGGACATTGTTTAATTTGTATATTCTTTACTCTTAATCTGGCGTCGTACCTCAGACCTAATTTAATTATTATGCAGGAAACAGAAATCCGATTGGTTATCCAGATATAGAGGCTACTTAATGTGAACAAATGTAAACGGCCCATGTCCTGATTGGCTAATGATCCGATCTGCTTGATCGGATCATGGTGATCGCAGCCAGAGATGCCTTCGGTCTGTTTTGTGTTCATATTTCAGTCGAACCGCACCAGAGTTTGTTGTTTGGTGCGAATCAGGGTTCGGATGGCAGCTTTCACACTTATTCAAATGAACCACATCAACAGAGCAACCACAGTTTGTTCTTATCTAACCAATCCTGCCAAGTGTGAACACGCCATAAGTGACAATTTTCTGATGTTTTTTCAGGTGTAGCAAAGATTGTCAACCATCTACACAAGCATGGCATTCCTATTGCTGTTGGCACAAGCTCAGCAGGTCTGACCTTTGAGATGAAGACTAGCCGTCATAAAGAGTTCTTCAGCCTCTTCAGTCACATTGTCCTTGGAGATGATCCTGAAGTAAAAAATGGCAAGCCACACCCTGACATTTTTGTGGTGTGTGCCAAGAGATTCTCTCCCCCTGCCAACGCTGAACAGGTAGGGGTGAAGCTACACTGACACTACACTATTCTATTCTATTCTATTCTATTCTATTCTATTCTATTCTATTCTATTCTATTCTATTGTTTGTTGGCTGTCACCTCTTTTTGACAGTATATAATCAAGTACAAACAGTAGGAACTATTGAAAAGGTAATTCCAAGAGTGTAATTTTGTACATGAAGAGCATACCTAAACAGTTTGCTGGCATTCTAAAGTATGATGATATGCGTAATTAAAGGCTCAGGCTTCCTAACTATAGAACACATTTTCTGCCAATATTAAAGTGAAAAGGCAAAAGTGAAAAAGAAACTGCAAGTTTTACAAAGATTTTTATTAATGCTCGCGCAATAATAGTGACACAATTCAAATTAAAATGTAAAGTTTAGTTTTTATTTTATTTCACAGTTATTGTTTTCATTTTCATTTTCAAACTCAACCTGAATGCAAATTATAGTGGGTGAACACCACAAGCCAGACTGTCCAAGCGTCAAACCCATTCCTCAGCCTGAGTCGCAGGCATCTTCAGTTGCCAGAGAATCTGTTCAGCGTAAGTAGGCCATGTCCCTAACTTAGACTAAGACCACAATTGATAAGGCTCATTCATTTATTAGCCTATTTTGTGATGTTAACCCCTTGACCCCTTTTCTTTGATGAAACAGTTACATTATTTGAAACAGATATTATACATTACTGTTCAAAAGTTTGGGTCAGTAAGATTTTCTTTTTGAAAGAAATGAATACCTTTATTAAGCAAGGACACATTAAAATTGTTTAAAAGTGACAGTAAAGACATTTATGATGTTACAAAAGATTTCTCTTTCAAATAAATGCTGTTCTTTTGAAATTTATATTCATCAAATAATACTTTAAAACGTATCAAGGTATCAAGCAGAATTAATATTACCACTTGACCAATCACATTAGCCTCCTGAGACCCGAGAGTTTGCCTGGTGTGCATTTTATAATTGTTCTAGCTATTTGGGATAAGTAGGACCTAATAAATATAATAACTAAAATTTGTTTTTGTACAGGAAGTAGTTTTTGCAGAAAATGATGTCCTCATGTGAGGACAGTCGGTCTATGATTTACCATATGATGTCCTCGTATGAGGACACAGTACTAGCAATAATAAATAAAAAACTTGTGGTTGTAATTCAAGAATGCTTTGGAATATAGACATATGGTTGGTCTTGTTTTTAAGAAGACATTTGCCAGATTATTGTAGAAGTGAAATAAATTATGAAAGTGAAACATAAAAAAAGTTATATAAGTTTGAGTTTATGAAAATATAGAATGTAAAAATATAATTATTTATATTTTATATAAAATATGTATATTATAAAATATATTTTACTCTAAAACTGCTAGAAAATTAAAGCCAAAAATCTAAACAAGTTGTGTTCCAAATTTTAGGTTGATATCTCAAAAAATGGGCTTTCAGTAAGATGTTATTTGGGCGTAGTACCAAACTTTTTCACTAGATGGACAGCCAGCTTCCTTACTGACCATATAAGGGTGTCTCCATTTTCATATGTTTTGAGTGATCTGAACCATGTCTTTCCATAATTTCACACAATTTATTAAGTATACATCCTATTCAGAAATAGTATGGGTGTTTTGGCAGTATTTGATTTGATTTCAACCTCTAATAAACATAAAAAGAGCACATATGTGCGTTATAGCTCGCTGCCGCATCACAAATCGAGAATTCATAATATTGTTCTTTATATTCTAAAAATTTTCAGACCTTTTTTTCTCATAACATTTAATTAGTGTTATCTTTTGAACTCTTGGCATGAAAACAAACTGAGGTTTCTACCAATCTTTCATGATTTTTCATGTTTTTTTTCTATTTCAAAATAAAGGCCTAAACACGCCTAATGAATATGAAATATTCTTGTTGCAAATTGATAAATTACTGCTATTCTGTAATTTATTTTAAAAAACAGCGACCAAATATGAAAACTAGAGATTGTAAGCATTCAAATGATATTTAGTTTGTCAATATTACATTAGGTTTTTACTAAGATATTATTGTTCTAAATATATATGGGCAAACGTCCCACGTGGGACGGTGACAGTTAAGGGGATAATGTAATATAGTCCCAATGTCCTCAAACGAGTACTTCATATTTACTGATGTCCTAGAGTGCTACTATTACTAAAATATGTCAAATTTTAATCCCCAAATGATGATAGAGACAGTATTGTACATAAATACATTTGTTTCATTCATATAATTTGAATAGATTTTTTACCTGGGTCATTTTTCTTTCGGGAACTGGTGTAGAAGTATTATGGTTAGGGTTAGGGTCATTTTCTTCTCACTGACATTGGTGTAATGTTGTGATATCACTACAAGATGGTGTGGGCAGTGCCCCTAAATGTGGCCAACATGTCTAAGATTTACAAATTTGACTATCATTGTGTCAAGAGGCAAAAATGTAATGTCCTTAAATGAGGCCGCAGGGTCTCAGGAGGTTAGGGGGCAAGTAAATATACACATAATATAATATATTTAAAATTAATTAGTAAACTAGTCAAATTTGTTGGCCTTTGTTTGACATTGCCCCAAGCGGTGTGTGCTGTGTATTTTAAACAAACAAAGGTGAACTTATTTCCTCTGTTTAGATTTTCAGTTGTTTAAAATAATTGGATGATGATCCTTCCTTCTTCTTTTAACTTGTCCTGCAAGTCAGCAACTACTTCCATATAAGACTTTAAAGTTAAACCCAACTGTGAGATGAGAGAATAAGCAAACCATTGAACCCAGTTTTTGATCTTAGTCAGACCTAAAATCAAAATCTCGATTGCAATTGAACATTTTACCTCGATTACGATTAATGAACAATTATGTTGTTTTGTGCTGTTTTTTTTTTTTTGCCCTCATAGTTCACTGACAAGGTTTGTACTGTAAATATGCACAGCTATTAAACGTGGGTTATTTTTTCTAATGAAAGAGTGCATTACTTATCTTTGTGATTTTAAATTAATTGAAGGAAACACACTTTGATGTTGGCTTTTGTGAAAACCTGAAACCTTGAACTGGGCCTCAAACTCAGCCCGCCTTTTGCAGAGCTACTGCAAATGTCATAGCGCTGCCCACAGTGCTATTGCCCCGACATAACAGCTCACTTTCAGCAGTTATTTTGTCAATGGGTCATAACATTTCTTACAGATTTCTGCTCAGATACAGATATATTAGCACAGTACAGTACATTTATTTGAATGCATTAATGAGAGAGCGATTGCCTGTTTGAATTAGTCATACTGTCTCTCTATTAATTGTGAAGCTGTGGGTTACTTCAAAAGTACTGTAGCAAAATATATGCTATAACTGTTGAGTTTCTAGGCTACTTTAGTGATAAATTACATGACAGCGTTGACAATGAGTTTCTGCGCTCCTGAATGTTTCTCTGTGCGCGATCTTCACATGATGTGCGAGCTATTATCTGTATGAATGTACGTTTGCCACTATGTATCATTAGTTCAATATAATGATACACATCCAATGGTCTACATCGCTTGAATGTTCAAACTGGCAAGCCTCAAAACACATACAACTGACAAACTTTAGTGTGGACGCAAGCGAAGGTGATCTGGCTTCAGGGCTTGCGCGGTCTGTATATGTGTAGCAGCGCATAAGATTGGCGATTAACTTACCTGTTACCTGTGTAAAACATGCAATTACCCTAGCAATACAGAGCATCCAGATTATATACAAAGATAACTGCTCCTTAATCTATTCATGTGCCTGCAAACTGCACTTGATGTGCGAGCTACTGTGAGATCACTCTGTGTTTGAGTTCTCCTCCATATTGATTCTATGCTGCTGACTGGACTGGGTGGAGTCACTGAATAGTAGTAGGCTATGTTTTTAAGCGGAAAGTATAAAAAAAACCCCGAAATAACTGACATGGAAAAATTACATCGGTTAGAGGTTTTGCATTTCGTTTTTGATTACTTTTCGATTAATCGTTCAGCACTACATGTATACCAAAGTGCTGGGAATTTGTGAACTACGAAACCGAAAGTTTGAGTTCTCCATGTCTTACATGCCTTGTAGATGGTAGTATTAAAATGCAAATGATAGTGTCATTAATTAATTCGGAAATCTGTATAATAAACAGTTTAAAGCCGCTTGTCTGTTCGGTAAGTGGCAAGCTTCTCATTTTTGTTCTTTATCTACCTTACATGACGCTTGCTGACAAAGTCTAGGAAATAATCAACCACAAATGGGGATTAACTAGATGCATGTTTCATTTTATTCTGCCATGAAACCCCTCCCTTTAAAATGGTACAAATAAGCATGTAAAGGTGCCAGGATAAAGATACAGGACTATGAATTGACTTGTTTCTTTTGTCCTTGAGGGACTGATATTTGCTCCTTCAGGAAGGAGTTTCTTTATTTTTATTTTGTTCTTGGATCAACTTCCAGCACTATAAAGCCATTAATAAGAGAGTGAATGAGGACTTGAGCTCAAAATGGAAAACACAGAGGGCGTACTAGAAGACCATCTGCCTGTTTATGTATGCTGCAGAAGTATTCAGTATATGTTTTTCTCTGTGATTATTTTTTATAAAAGCACAAAAGGACCATTTTTTTAATACAAAATTGGGAAACTATTCAGCAATTTATTTATTTTTCATATCACTTCCCCAACCCAACCACCAATCCTCACAAAATATTAAACACTACAGAAAGTGAAGGGGTTACAATGTTACAAAATGCTACATTTTGTAACATTGTTTTTCTTGTGGATCTGGGATCTGGTTGGTTTGGTTCAAGGCGTTTTGTTGTTTGTTTTGGATGAAGGTTCTTTATTGAATAACTTAAACAAAAATAAAACTTTTGTTGTCCCTGTGGTGTACATGAATTAGAAAATACATAGCTACACCATTGTTCAACTACTTTCCATGGTTTTCCAGATAGAATTTGTTCACAATTCAGGAATTGTCTATGGTACCCTGCCCTTGCTATTTGAGATGGACACC